TATATTCATGTAATTTGGTTTTAGAAATAACGGACCAAATAGATCTCTCAGTTTCCATTTTGCTTTATGATCTATTGCGGGATGCGTATAATTGCTCAACAAATCACTACTCATTTTATATTTGTTATTCTCATTCTCACGTTCCGCCTCTTCATCTTCTAGTATCGCAGTTTCTTCTTCCGCCAACATTTGTTCCCAGTTGTATAGTTGATCTTCCCAATTATCAGATGTTGTATCTGATTTGTTTCTTCATCCAATTCAATTGGTTCATCAGGTTCATTTGGTTTATTTACTTCTTGTGAATTTGTTGGTCCAATAGTTGGAATAAGTAATATATTGTAAGGTTTTTGTTTTCTTTGCTGAAAAAAGTTAATCAAGGTACAAATTTGGCTTATAGCCAATACTTTTTTATTTTGTTTAAAAAAAATTTATTTTATTTTATTTTTTTATTTTTATATATATGTTGTAATTAGAAATAGAATTTAAGTAGATTTGAAATTTTTTAATAAAATTATAATTTTAGGGTGTATAGAACTTGTTTTATATAAATCTACATTTAATTCTAAAATTCTAAGAAATTTTCAATTCACTTAAATTCTATTTCTACTTACAATATTTATATATTTTTTTAAAAAAAACTCAAATTAATATTAACATCTACCTTGAGACAATTTTGTCAGTTGGTATGAAAAATCTCATTGAACTCCATAATTGTTTTATAGATACTGCATTAATACAAATCCCAAATAGCCATGTAGTTAAGGATCCAATTCTTTGTTAAGGAGAAGGCAAATTTTTAAAATTCTAATATATCTTTAAACTGTTTATATGTTATATGATCAAATAGATAATTATATTTTCTATATGTTTCAAATTCAAGTAAAATGTAAGTTGGTAGATGCCCAAACTATACTTTATAATAGTAGGTAATAAACTAAGCAAGATAAATAAAATTTAAAATTTTAATATTAGTATTAAACCACATATTACAAATATTTAAATTTAAAAAAAAGGCTAATAATAATAATAGTTGTTCTTATTATTCCTATCTTTGCTCTAACTATAAGATCATATGCTTTGATAAATCATTATCATCATGTTCCTCTCACATTTTTAAGATTCTATCAAAAGCTTGTAATACTTTGTGAAGATATGCAGTATTTGATTGCAAGTTATTGAGAGTTTCACAGTAAAGATAAAGTAAAGAATATAATAATTTTATTGATTATTAAAAACTGTTACTAAGCAGAATTGATGTTATATTACACAGTAGATAAAGTTTATTCAAACAAGTTAATGATTAACCTAATTTATTATCAAAATTACAAGCTAAAGTGTTTAAAGGCAATTTGTGTATAGTAGCTAAGTTTTACTTGAACTAAACTTTAAATTTATAAACTTGAATTGAACCTGAACTCAAAGTTTTGGTTCAGTTCAAGTTCAGTTCAAGTTCATAAACATGTTCAAGTTCAATGAATTATA